ACTCAAATGTGTCAAGAGCATCAGCATCATCATTATTCCACGAACCCAAGGAGACCCTCGTCCACGTCTCCGAACAAGTCCAAATTATGCTCGTATGTATGGCTCTTTTTTGACATGGGTCCGGGCATCCACATCCACTTCCACATCCACTTGCCCCTGCCCCCTGTCATATGTCATAATTATAATGTATGTAGCTGCTCCCATTTCCAAGTTCAGCGTCTGCCTTGGGATGGATGGATCCACTTGCTCTGATATTGATAATTGGCCGCCAAAGTATGAACAACTGTGCCCCACGGCTGCCCAAGTCTAGACGAAAAGTGTCGGTTCTGAAGAGCACATTTTGACAGTTGGCACTTGATGATGATGACGATGATCCGGACATAGCTTAAATAATTCTTCGCCCTGAGCTGCTCGCACAAAACATAATTATGTATTATGAAAACATTTTGGAAGGATCTGAGAGTCGAAGATAAAGTTTTGAGTGGGGATATTGCAAGATTTGGATACGGTGCACAGGCAGAGGTACCTTTTGATCGTCTGTACAAATATATTTAAATCTGTGAGTTCTTTTGGGAAATGAAAAGTTTTTTTAGTTTGATTTGTGCTCTATTTGAATCTCTTATATGGTACAGTGAAAGCTGAAGAAAAGAACTCCCAAGAGAGCTTGAATGGATTATGCTTGGACCTTTTTTTTAGTAGTTACGTATGATGGACACATGGCTAGCTTGGCATTGGGGAAATTGAGAGATGGATAGACATAGATTGGGACTGCGTATGTCTCTGTGGTACCTGGCTCCCTTATGGCAAGTATTCTGCCAAGAGAAACCTTCCATGAACTGTGGAGAATCTGAAAACTAAATTACGTATAACGAAAGAGATCCATGAGAGTTCCTATAAATGCAAATACGATAAGCAAATAAATTAAGTTAAAGTGAATAATAATATATTACTTTAATTAAAAGTATTACTCGAACAAACTCGCAGGTACTCCAAATTCTGTATCGTTTTTTGAATTAAAAAAAAGAAAAGCTCATGGCATAAGCCAACTACTGGCCAGCTACCCAAAAGTAATCCTCAATTAAACATAACAAATTCGTGTTGCACTTACAGGAAGTGTTTGCACCTGAAAGGGGCTGCACACTGGACTTCCCTGGCAAACGGACAATCCATACATACATTCGAGAGAGCAGCGAAAAATCTGAATATGTTGGCTGGGCAGGGGCACGGGCAGGGGCACGGGCAGGGGCACGGGCACAGGCACAGTGAACCCATTAAGCAGCAGCCGCGAGATAAACTCCTCTTGAGCCGGCAGCCAGCAGCCGCAGCCCCAGCAGCAGCAGGCACGCGATGGCGATGGCGATGCCAATGGTTGGGTGTGATTTATAGGGCTTTTAGGATATTTTATTAAAATGCATATTCGTTGCTCGGATGTCACTCGGCGGCCGTCGTTGAATGTTTATGATTTTCATAAGCTCAGAGGCCATTGGCTACCACATCGCGGCCATACGAAGAGGCGCATGGAGGAGAATGGAGCAGAATGGAGCAGAATGGAGGATGCAGGCCAAGCAGATGTTGTTCTTGTACGGCGGCAATGTTGTATGTCATAAATTGTCACCACACTCGCCGACGACCCGATGCCCGACTCTGCAGCAGTGCAGCCGATCGGGCCAGTCCAGTGTCAGGTGAAGATATTGTATCTGATCGCTGCGACGGTTGCGGGTCATAAACAAGTGAGGAGTTCTCCCCCGGTTGTGGGTTTTGCGACCATTGCATCCTTGCCTCCACTCCACTCCACTCCACTCGACTCGACTTGGCTTGGCTTCTTTTTGGGTTTAATTAAAGCAGTTGGCTTGTCTTCATTTTTGTATCTTTTGCCTGGCGGAGAGTGACGTTGGCTGGGGCTTAGTGCGCGGATTCGTTTATCAGTTTATTTAAATTTTCTTTTCGTTTCTGCATGTGCGAGCGGAGCAAAGCTGAGACCGAGGGGATTGCTCGTATTTATGCCCATAATCAGGGCGCATGGAATCCCGTTAAGTCGCGTCATAAGGCGGTTCGCCATTTTCGCTTATCTACGACTCAGATTCGGTTACAGCTTACAGCGGCAGCGGCAGCCCCCGCCCCGCCCACAATAACATTGAGGCTGAGGCTGTGGCTGTGGCTGTGGCTGATGCTGAGTTTTATTGTTGCTGCTCAGAAATTGGATTCGTATCGGAATTACACACACACACACACACACATGTGCACATATACATATGTACATATATACACCCACACACGTAATACAGTTTATGGCAACTCATATCTGTAAGATACACCCCCACCCCCCACAACACAGCCAGTAAGAGAGTAAGCCGCCATTTTGCGTTAAAAGGCAGAACCGAACACGTAGCACGAAGCGAACGAAGAAAAATGTTAATAAAATAACACAAATATGGCAGAGGGAAATGCTCGTTATGTGAGGATTTCCATCGGCTTTCCCTCTCTCTTGGCTTTTATTTTTATTTTATGTATCTGCCACATAAGCAGCTTAAGTGGCAAGCACCACAGTTAGACAGGCAGTGAGAGTTGGAGAGATGGAACCCATTTACATATATACATAAAGATTTACATGTGCATGTAAAAGATGTACATTTATATATGTACATATGTATGTATGTATGTATGCATGTATTTGTACTTTAGTATGGCATATCAAAAGCAAAAGGATCAGGGACATAATGCCGACGTCGCCGCATGTGCCATAATTTGCAGAAAAGTGCCAGAACAGCCACCCAACCACATGGCACACAGCACAACCAAAAACCGAACCCCAATCCCCCAACATTCTGCCCAACTGAAACCCCAATTTGAAGCCACCACCCACCCCACCCATGCACCCAAAGGCTGGCATTAAAATGCCTTTCGAACAAGGATAACATTTTGCTTTCTTTTCTGGCAGGCTTTGCCTTTGCCTCGTTTCGTTACGTTTTCCATTCCCCATTTTCCATGTGGCAAGTGGAGAACAGGGAGAGTTGGTAGATGGTAGATGGATGGGGTGTTGCTTGCATGAGGCACTTTTGGGTGGGGGGCCGAAATGGGTGCATGCCATAAAAACAATAGCGCACATAAATTTTGCACAAATATATAAAGTATGTATGCAAAAAGGCATAAAACGTACAGAAAAAGGGAGCCTGGAGCGGCGGCCAGGCAAAATGAGCCAAGGGGAATCCCCAACCAGCACACACACACACACACACATCAGCATATACATATACATATGCATATATCGTGTATCGTAAAACATAAAGAAGGAGACGCAGAAGAAACAGAATGAAATATTTGCGATTTTCGTTTGTTTTATTTTATTTCATTTCTTTTTTCTTTTTTTCTTTCAGCTGTGTTCTCATTTCATTTCGCTGTGATTTGGTCGGAATTTTAACGAGGCCCGATATGGGTGCGAACTTGTTAAGGGGGCCCACTGGGCAGAGGGTACTTGGGGGTCGTTAGAGATTCCCTGGGTGCCACAGGCCATGGGAGGGCTACGCATGGGTTGGTGGCATGCGATTCGTTCAGTGTACTGTCGTCAGGCCTGCATTTGGTGTGTGTTTCTAAAGGGAAGGTGTTTCAGGATAAGCACGTTTAAATATGTGCACACAAATATCATAGTTAATCTTCATAAAAATATCAGGTATATGACTAAGATGTATTCGCTGAAATCAAGCTGACATCCTGCTTTTGGAATATAAAATTAAGATGAGAGATATATGACAGTTTTATAAAAATAATATTATAGGCATACATTTCCTAGATATTTTCAGATATATGTATATATAATTAGGATATTGTTAGGGCGATATTCCAAGTAGCATCACAAAAGTAAATTAAATTTTTCAGCTGACGAAATTCTATTTAAAAGAATGAAAAATTGTCTGGATATTTCAACAGTAAGAAATGAGTGTTAAAAACAACAGAAGTTAGAAGAATTTACAGCAGATACATCGAATAAAGAACTTAAGTTCGAGCTTCACTTTTGTCCAGATCGTATTTTAAAATTTATTTTTTTAAGTTAATGAGACTTGCATTAAAAATGGCTGTGTGTAGTAGAAAATATGGATTATTTTTTTAAAGATAATTCTATTTAGTGTTATTATTCAATATACTTTATAATGGGGAATATGGTTAAAGAATATACTCAAAAATTATCCGAACCCATTTCCATATGTTGAGTTGCAAAACTCCTATCAATTCTCTTCCCCTGCCCACTTCTAATGGCTAAGGGCTTGCAGTTTTGCAGTTATCTACGGGTCATCCGAAATCGGCTGATATCAATCTTCTACACTTGAACTGCGAGCACGGAACAAATGCCAGTGCCAGAGGGCAGTCACGCATCTTTGGCGGGGTCACAGCTGTTTGCATTTGCTTCCATCATCATCGATACCCGTAATTGGACATCGAGCTGGCTGCTCCTCAACCCCGGTCCAGTCACCAGTCACTACATCCTCCACCTTTCAACCGTGAGCAATATGTGCGCAAGTAATTGTGATTTTCCGTGTTTCCCGTTTGATTTTCCACTCAGCTTCGACCCTCCCACCACCCAACTCTACACCGAATGAGCAGAGCAGAGCACTACATGAATTTGTCGTTTTCAGAAATTTATGCTTTTTAGTTTATTGCTGATGGAAGGAGCAGCAGTAACAGCAGGAGCAAAGGGTGTGCCGTCTGCATAGTTTTATGAGTGGACCTCGTGTGTGCCTCTGGTCGTCTGATGTCCAGCCCGGGACCAGCCAAGTCGATGTGTAATTGGGAATTTATTAGTCGCTGGAGACTCATTTACATTTCTCTCGCTTGTAGGGTGTGTGTGCGTGTGTGTGTGTGGAGGCCAGGAGACCAAGTGTGGGCGTCACCACCCCGCACCACAATCCGTACGGAACTGCTGTAATTATTAGCCATTCTTTTATTTATGGCAAGACGAGTTTTGATTTATCAAGGATATAGCGAATGCCAAAGACAAATGCGTAGACTTGGGTAAATAAATTCCCCGAAATTGTCTATCGGTTCTGATTTATTACTAATCGACAGTCATAAAGAACTTGAGGCGCACCTGGCAATGGCCAGTGCGATTGGCACTCTGATCGGGGTCACCATTTCAAATATTTCTTGGAATTATTATTTATATTTATTATATTTACGGGTTGTGCCTGCTGTGGAGGTTTTTTTTTTTTCAATCTTAGCAACGAGTGGAGCTCTTTCCGAACTTAAGCTGAGTCGTCTGTTAATGGAACTAATTAATCCGGTTTATTGTGAGATTATTTCTGAGAGAGAGACACCGAGAGTTAGCTGAGCTGTGACGTATTTAGTCCATATTTCGAACAATCCACTCCCTGTACGGGTGGATGCGCATAAACGCGCCTGGGAAGCCTTCCCTTTTAATTGACGATCCCACATTAACGATCGCAATCAGATAGTAGCTGGCCGGATTGCCGTAGACGACATTCACGCCCACCATCGGCGAGCCAGACATGAGGATATCGTTGCCAGAGATCAGACCACAGATATGATTCGAGGTGAGGTCGAACATGTCGAAGCCAGGATGCGACTTGCAGTACTCCGAGCCGAGCGTGTGTACCTGGTGCTTCGAGCGCCATCTGCCCGCCGGGTTGAGGTCGCGAGCGAAGCCCACCATCTCCAGGCGCTGGCCAATGTGATTGCCGTCGATCTCGTGGTCCGGCGGCAGGCACAATGGCTGCACATAGTCCCCGAAACGAACGTTGCGATCTAGCTTGGCCAGAGCAATGTCGTTGTCGTATCGCCGTCCATCGTACTGCGGATGAACGGCCAGCTCCATGATCGTGTAGGGCTCCGGCGGGGGTGCACATTTCTCCGCCGTAAGGCAGTCCCTCCGGTGAGTGTTTTCGTTGGACTTCCAGTCTCCGAAGAGTATAATTGTGGCCTCCATAGCACTTTCCAGCAGTATGCAATGAGCCGGCAGAATCGCGTGTCGCTCGCTGAGGAGTACAGAGAGGCAGAGGTACGAATATTCCTCAGGGTTCGACTCATTCACTTTGCTGTAGCCCACACGTCCCAGCCACGGGTGCTCATCCGGATCTGTAATTTCCCTCTGGTTATACAGCTGCGCCTGTCTCAGTCTGCCACATTGCTGCTGCTGCTGGTGCTGCTGCTGCTGCGCCTGGATAGCTGTCAGTGTTGGGCACAGAGAGAGTTTAGCTGAGCTTCAGTTCGGGGCAGGGTTTTTCCCTGACACTACGTGATACTTACGTGATAAGAGAGCGGGCAATACCCATACCCCAATGAGAGCCACGCAGGTGCCTCCAAACATATTTCCAGTGCAACTTAATCCGAACAGATTGATGTTTGCCGGATGACTGAACTGTATGGCAGCGATAAGTCGCCACTGGCATAGCTTTCGCGCAGTGCAGCACTCAATTAAAAAGCATCGCTGCGGAAAGCTGCAATCAATGATCTGATCTGCTATTCTCAATCGGAAATGGGTCTAGCGATTACCCGGTAAATTCTTTGAAAAATTATATTGATCAGGTTATATTTCTTTATAAGAGAACTACCCAAAGATATCTGATAAAAGAGCCTGGCTTTGCGGGGATCCGTTACTCATGTGTTGCTTTGTGTGTAATTCTTTAATGCGTGACATCCAAATTGCAATTGAAGCTTCCATGCTCTTTAGCTGCGGCATGCACAGACGATCCGATTGCTGAGCGCAGCTTCGGCAAGCAAGAGATAATGTAGATAACGAAAGAGCGAGCTTAGAGAGAAAGCTTAGAGAGAAAGCTTAGAGAGAGTGCGCTTAAAAACCACTTGGCAGGAGGAGCAAGTGAAAGCTTAAAAGTAAGAAGAAAACAGAAGAATTTATAACAGCAAAAATATGCAGCTGAACGAAAGAAATTGGCTGCTTTTCGGCAAGCATTCTGTTTGACTATATAAAATGTTTTATTAGGATTATTTTAATTATTATTTCGCACAGCCGAAATTTGTTATTATTTTTCTTCACCGTTAAACTTGGGTTTTTTTATATTTACCGTATGGAGTGCAATCATAAATGAACTAATCAATATTAAGATCACCTCAAAATTCCTCAAAAATAGTCATTTGATAGAGCATTTGCTGAAGCATTGCCAAATAATAGATTAATTAATGATTGGTAAACAACAACAAAAATAGACGTCATACTAGAACAGAACTAGAACTAGAAGTTACATCACTTTCGAGTTTTCCTTTAGACTCCGGAAATACAACATCCTCGATAGTATAGTGGTCAGTATCCCCGCCTGTCACGCGGGAGACCGGGGTTCAATTCCCCGTCGGGGAGAGATGTCAAAAGTCTTTTTTTTCTTCTTTTTATACCTGATACTCAAGGAGTACATATAGGGTAATTTTAGAATTATGTAGATACATACTTTGTATATGTAACCGCCAGAAGAAACCATCTCCGAACCCATAATCTACATCTATTTATGTAGATATATGTACATACATATGTACATATATATAAATTTAATAATGATGCCGATTGTTTTCCTTTTTATCGGCATCCCTCTGCACCAGTACAACTTTATCAATGGGAGAATAAATTAAATTGCTTTTTCTATATAATTTCATACTTATAGCTCAAAGTGTTGTTTTTTGGATGCTATTTGTAAACTCTACATTCTCCCCGCTCCCTGCTACAAACCATAATCCCCATCCCCCATACTGCCCCAAAAAACCCCACCCAAACCGTAGCTCAAACTGTCCATCATATGTTTAATTTAAGCCTCGTAATTGTGTTTATTGTACATTTTAAGAGTCCTTGCCAATGGAAGCCATGCCCATCAGGTCACGCATAATCTTATTACGCACGTCAGAGTCTATTGGGCCTGAGTCTAGGCTGGATAAAAAAGGAAAAATTTCAACAACGTCACCAATTTCCGGCAATTATTTCGACTGTCGGTCGATTTAATTTATTCGTTGCTCAAAATTAAAACCAAACCAAAACAAAGAAATCCCCTTGTCCAACTGAAGCGACATTGTAAACAGGCCACATCCCCCCAAGCACTCCCCCAATCCCAATCGCATTCGCAGTCCCAGTTCCCTGTCCAAGATCCTGCCACATCTCCATCTCACGCTGTGTTTGTTGGCGCGATTTTTCATTCCAGGCGCAATTGGTTTTCAATTCATGGCCATGTAATCCACTGCCCATCCCCCCCACAGACTCCATGGGATATTTCTGGGGATTTATGTTGTTTTTTGTTGTTGTTGTTGTTGTTTTGTTGCTTTCATAGACCAAGACAGGACCTGGCTTGTGGGGTTTTTTGTGCATATTATTAGCGTACGCCGCGTGACTGCGAGTTGAGCTTTTAATCGAATGCACATAATTGCCAAAATAAATCAATCAATTCGGCTCGACTTCCCTCTAATGAGAACTGACAGTCGCCCAGTCATCTCTCCACTGCCAGATCCACTCTCTCTCTCTCTCTCTGTCCCTCTTCAGGCCCCATTCCCATGTAGGCACTGGGCATAAATTAACATCCAAGGATTTAATATATTCTCAAATGATGTTTAATAAGCGGGCGGAACGGGCCAGACCCTTAACGACTTGGTTTACGTGTCATTTGACTCTGGAAGGTGGGGCCTTTGGCTAATACCTCGTCTTAGGCGAACATAAATATCCGTGTTGCGAGTGATAGCGATCTTTTTGTCTGCCCAGACACGTGACCCCATCGTCGCGCCACCGTTTCGTTTTGTAATCCGTGAGATATGGCAACGATGACACGCTCCGCTCTGACTCTTTGCGTCCATTATGAATTTGACAAATGGAGCGCAACTGCCCGGGGCCCCATTCCCGTCTCTCTACACGAGGCAGCCAGAAGGGGGTAAGACCGGAGGTGATTCCGGAGTGCGTGCGGGATTACGTGTCAAAGGATTAGTGACAACACGAGCTCGTGGCACTGCCATGCCGCACGAGAGCAGCAGCCCGCGTTGCTTTGGCAGTTTTCTATGATAAGATTTATCATTGAAAAAGGGAATGTTGTAGAGGATTGTCAATATCACAAGTTAGTTGTGGAGTTCTAGATGCAGAAACTTGTATTTCCAAAATAATATTGATTTAATTTGAAGACTGAATGTATCCGAATGTAAAGGGACTTGTATCGAAGGCTCTGCAGAGCTGGAAGATGATTTGAAATTTCTAACAATTTCCAAGTCCAATGAGGCAGCACTGAGGGCAGTTATTGTGCTTATAAATATCATTTTAATATCTAAGAAAATCTAAGAAATATTATTTTCCCCTGTCCCTAATGGCTAGCCGCCTGACGATGGACTTTCCCGCTGTGTTAAAAATCCTCGCAAACAAATTTGCGTTCCAAATGTTCAACCATAATTTGTTGTCGACACCAAAAAGCACAAGCGAAGGTCGTAGGCTGAGATCTGCCGGAACTGACGAGCACATTATTAGCCGCAGGGGGAGTTCCAAAGGATGAGGCTGTAGGTTGGAGAGGGCGCTTTGAAGGGGTGTTTTTTTTTTTTTTTGGTCCACGGGCTGCGGCAGTCCACAATTGAATTTTAAAAAAAACTGCAAAACGCATTTTTCAAAATGACAAACAAACGAAAAGTGAAACGGAAATGAAAACAAACAATGAAGGCCAAGGAAAACAAAGTAACCTGAGACTCGGCAAGGGATTCGGAATGATGCTGAGAGTTCAAACGAAACGGGGAATACGATGATGATGATGATGATGATGATGATGATGAGGCCGTGGCTCCGTAGGAAGCTGAAGACCCGCAAGGGGAGTGTGAAAATGGAATAAGTGTGAACAAATAGAAGCGCACAGTGGGACGCTCAGTTTTTGTGGAGAAGTCAAATGGCAAGGCGACAAGGGGTTGGCCCTCAGGGGGTTGCTACCGTTTGGCAATTATGTTTCCTCGAGTCCCATCGAAATGTATACATACAATATTCGTGGCATTAAGCAAACACCAAAGCAGTTATCAATCAGTTCTACATATGCATCAGTAAAAGACCCTGAGAAGTTCGCATATGGATAATGCAGCGGGGGAAATATCAGAAGTTATAAAAAACAGAGAGCTACGAGGTGTAAATATAGGGAGGGGGGAAACTACATACAGACACGTCAGGTGAATCCAAATAAAGATTAAGGATACGTTTCCTGACTCTCACAGAGTTCTCCGATCCCAAGTGAATATTCCATAATATTTTAGGATTGTATTTCATTCGATGGTTGGGCCTATAAGGTGATATTTCTGTCTGCTGACAGTCTGTTTCCCAATCTGCCGGATTCTTATTTTTTTTTTTATTTGTGTATGGTGCATTGTTCGCGCCAGTTGGTGCGTTGATGACCGTTTAAGCAAAGTGTCAGCCGGAGTGGAGCGACCAGAACCGCAGATGTCCTGTCTCGAACCCAATTCCTGTCCCGGCGTGAGCTCCAGGAAGCGGCGACCTCATTAAGGCGGCAAAGTGCAGGCCAATTGCAGGGGCCCGGCTGCACTCGGCCCCCGGGCATAAATCACGCCATTTAATAACTAATAAACGCCATCGTCGTCGGCGTCGTTGCCGTCGTTGGCCTCCACTCAAGTGGCAGCTGTCAGCTTGTCAGGGGCGGCCGAAGAGCGTGAAATAATCGCCAGACGCGACATTGAACGGAATGGAATGGAATTATAAGGGGCAGGGCCAGGGCAACGGCCACGGCCCAGAGTTCGTGTCAAGTAAAAAGCACCCCAGAGGAATCCATCAGTTTTGTGATTTTCGTATATTAAGTCATCATTTTTAGTCCATGTTCCCCCTGCTGCAACTCCCATGGGGCAGGTCCGTTTCGTTTCGCCTGTGCTCTGGCGTCTGGAGTCTGGGGTCAGTCTGGGGGAAACTTTAAATTGAAGCTGCGACCAGGACAGCGAACAAGGGTAGACTGGTTGGAATGGATGTATCTGCCTTTTGTGCCCACGATTACTGATTACAACGAAAGTTAAGTGCTACAGCAGGAGTTGCAGCAGGGAGTCGCAGCAAAGCTCTGGGATCGCTCTTGTTCGTGTTTCATTAGTGGTTAATGTCGGACATGTGGGGCTCAATGGAACTGACACTACTCTTGGGTGACAACATAATATTGAAGAAATAAGGGGAAGGCTGAGAATTATGATACAGACATCTAAAGCGATGGAAGTTCATGGGATATAAGAGTGAAATGAGGGAATACAATCGACAAAATAAACTACTTATATCCATATAGCTCTTTGCCTTTAGTTGCAATCACTTTGGGTCTAGTCTGCAGCTATTTTGCCTATAATTTAATTTATTATTTACCCAAAAGTATGCTATACAAATTATTTTAAAACGTTCTCTAGGAACTGCACAGCCTTAGGAGTTACCTGTGGATGAGGGAAAATATTACTAACTTGCAGGCCAGTTTCAAAATTAATATTTTTAATAAATACCAACAAAAACTCTTGGATTGAACAACTGGGATATTACTTGGATAACTTGTTTCAGTTTTTTCGGGGCAATATCTAGCTTAAGTTTTCAAATTAAAAATATGTTTAATTCCATAATATAATACACCTTTAGGTCGTATTCAAAATCTTCTAAAATTAAGGAAATTTCTGCCGTTGGAATACATTGGCAAGTCAATTCCAAGTTCTTCCCACCAGCTCCCCACCCACTTGGACTGCGCTCATTTGCCTGCAGGGGGGGATGGCCGGGAGTCGCGTGAGTATTTAAGGCACCTGCAAACCCAGCCCTTGGCCCTGTTCCCCCGGGGGGGGGCGGCACGGCACTCTAATGCGTCAAAATCCTTCAACTTTTCGCAGCATTTGCGCACAATGCGGTGCAGGCGTGGCTGCTGGAGGGCCCTTCACCGAAAACAGAAACAGAAAAAGAAGAACAGCAGCCAGGACGGGAAAAAAGCGCGACTGACAAAAGTATTTGAATTGACAAGTGCCATCAAAATAGAAGCGGAATTAAATTTATCATGCCAAGTGGCGGTGGTGGTGGCTGGGCGAGGTGAGGCAAAGACTGTAAGAGCTACGACTGGGCTCTCTGGGGGATGAACAGCCAACAGCAGCAGCAGAGGAGTACGAGCAGTAACCAGCTCCGGCGCCATCGATTAACTCGAGCGTGAGCCAGTTCCGCCGGAAGGAAGAAGAACTTTTAAATATTGAATAATATGTTTTCTTTATTTTCTTAAACACGGAAAATTCTGTCAAACTTCGCATATTGATGGGGCCAAAGATGAGCGGAATATTGGCAATTCGGCAAAGTGTCACAAAAACCAAATTAAAATTTTTAGGAAAAATAAAAGAAATTTTATTCGTCTTAAATTATAGAATTATTTTCGTTTGATTTTTCCCCACAGGTTCTTTGGCATTAATTTACACAAGCATGCTCTATTTTTAGAGCGAAATAGCGTGGTTTTCGTCGCTTCAAAAAACCTTGCCCCATATAGCAAGTGAAATGCATGCGCGTTACTCGGGCTGTCATTGTTTTATGCCTTGGCAAATAGAGCAGCCCACTGCTTAGAGATTATTATGCGAACAAATCAGAAAGGATCACAACTTAGTCTGGGCTGTGCTGCCACGGATGAGCACAGAACTCGATGGGGATAATGTAACGAGAACAAAAAATATTTTTATTTGGATTTTAAATGTATATATGTAGTTGAACAAACAAAATTTAAACAAGCGAAACTAAACTAAACAAAACTAAATAAAGTACATTGGATTTTTCGATGTAAGGCTCGTGCTTATCAAGCGCTTTTTGTACTCCAGCTCTGGCGCCGCAAACGTCGTGGTGCCCGTGAGATACACCCGCCCACGGGAGGCAGCCAAATGGGCCAAGTACGCCGGTGCCGGGTAGGACACAGCGCGGTTGCAGCGGGGGAACATGTGGCAGAGGTTGTGTGTCAGCTGCTGCAGCAGGTCAATGTCCAGGCTGCCCGTGTTCGCGATCACATTGTAGCGGGTCGGCCTGGCCGTGCCCTGAATGGACTGGTGGCTGACCATGAACCACTGCACCTCATTGGGATGCACTATGGTGCGATCGACCACGGTGCCCGGCTCCACGTTGTTGTATTTGTTGTGCTGCGAGGGGGCGCCACTCGGAAAGAAGCGCGTGTGATGCCGCTTCACCACTATGATGCAGCAGATTTTCGGCTTAATGCCCAGCTGTTAATGGGGCGGAAGGGGGGCTCGGAATTAGTGCACGAAGTGCCAGTGAATGGACAGTTTGAAGTCACCTTGGCACAGGCCACGGAGATGCCGCGCAGCTCCTCGTTCTTAATCTTCGGGAACTGCCCATCGCTGACCCCGTCCCGGTAGTACATAATGTGCTCCGGATAGCACTTCCGGTAGTGATGATAGGTGCGCAAAATCGCGGCTGTTATCGACTCCATGTCCTCGATCTCCTCCAAAGCGGAGCGTTGCAGGCGGTACTGCATGTTGTAGGATGCCCCAAAGGGATCGTGAGATCCCGCCACGCCCACCACACTGGGTATTTCGCGTTGATCGGGCGACGGATGCGTCACATCGGCGCCCAGGTACATGACGTTCCTCAGCTCGGTGCACCCATCCAGCTTCAGCGTGTGGTTGATGCCATTCAGCTTGGAGTTGATCTTCAGCAGCAGATTGCCAATCACCTGCGGATTGCAGTTCCGCTCGACGGTGTTGCGCTTGATGCACTGCGTGAGAATCCCGTACTGCAGTTCGGCTTTCTGTTTCAGTTCGTCGTAGAAATGGCCGGCATTGGGCACAACGACAATCACCAAATCGTACTGACTCGATTTGTACTCCTTGAAGTGCGGATCCAGGCTCTGGATGTCCCTGTACGCTCGTATGTTTGCCTTGGCAGCCAGCGACAAATTGACGCTGCGACTTTGTGCCAGGATCTGCAAGGATGAGCAAAAGTAATGCCCCCGCACCTGCACCTGCACCTGCCACTCGACGATCACTTACCAACTGCTCAAGGTCCCGCATCTTGTTGTAGTTGAGGCCGCCGTGCACGATGGCCCACTTGTGCGCCTTCTGCTTGGACTCGTAGAAATGCGAGCAGTCGTTGCGCCACGAGCCGTGCCTCACCATGCATGTGGCCCTGTTCCGATACTGGATAATGGGGGCACTGAGGGTGCGCGTCTGCACCGTAACGAAATCGGTCTGCAGGCGAAAGCCAAAGCGCGCTATGGTCGGGTCCGTGTTGTGGCTGAAGTACTGCAGCAGCTCCATGATCTTGCACCTGCGTGCGTTCGTGGATGTGGCCGCAATCTTAATCATTGCCGCCGACTGCAGCGTGGAGTCCTTGCGCTGCAATGGAAGCAATCAAAGTGATCAAAAGGGGTGACAGCAGCGTGCCAACGGCAGACAGCAGACAGCAGACTCACATTCACCGACTGCTTGCCCTCAATGGCACACAGCTCAATGGGCAGATAAATTGTTTTCTGTGGCGAGCCAACGTGCAGGCAGTGCAGATTCGGATACCGTAGACTGTGGCCACGGGACTGGAAGTACTCGGCCACGGTCAGCCGGCCCTTATCCGCCACGAATGTCTGCTTGCTGGCCGGCAGCTTGGTCAGCGCATTCACCTTGTAGACTCTGGTGAAACTTGCGAATGATGCTGGCGGCGCATAGGCGATGGCAACGCCACTCAGGTATCCATCTATCTCCGAGCGCTTGCTCTCGAGATTCGTTTGGGCCGTGATCTTCTGGCCCAGCTGATAGCGCTCCAAGTACTCGATAATGGGCATCGGCAGTGGGAAGCACTTGTGTGTGATGTCCACATTCACAAACGGACGATCGCCCAGCACAAACGCCTGAAAGAGGCCCAGCAGAATCTCCTCGCCGTTGCCCAGGGCCTGGGACTTTCCCGGTTCGGATTTCTGAAAGAAACAGCGACCCGAACGTATCGCCTTGCTGTGGCATGGCGCGGCCAGCACAACCTCCAGACACTGCAGCGCACGCATCGGCTTCTCGTAGATCCTGTCCCTCATGTAGGTGCGCAGGGAGCTTAGGTCGACCTCCGGTTCCGCCGTCGCCATAATCTCCACCAGATACTTGAGCTCACGTCCATAGCTGTCGAAGACGCTAACCTGCTCGCCCTGCGATCGGCAGTGGAGCTTGTCCACGGAGTAGCACGAGGCCCGTCCATCGAAGGCCGCCACAGCATTGCCCAAATACTGAACGCGATGCTGCTCGAAGGCCTCCCGGTAGAACTTCTTCGGCAGTTCCGGCACGAATTTCACATCGTAGTGGTACGCCACTGCCGGCATTCTGTCCATGTTCACTTGCAGATAGTTCACTGCAATCTCCCCGATTCTGCCCAGTGTACCGCGCTTTATGGGCTTGACCGCTGGCCGGGGCGGGACCACTGCCACTGCCACTGCCCCTGCCACCGGACGCAGGAGATCTCCTTGGCCCAGCTCTGGCTGCACGTTGACGCATTCCAAAGCGTCGGCTACGGCCGCGAGATCCGGAAACGGTTTCTTTTTTTTATAATTTTTAACTTTAGGCATTTCCACTGCCGTTTGCTTGAGTAAAAAACTTAAGAAAGAAATATATATATACAAAAAAAAATATATAGAGTTTTACCGATCACTAAATTTATTCTACTCTAGTTACGAGTCTCCTCCGAATGTTGCCAGACGAATGAATACAGTGTGAATACAAAATATGTGTGTGTGTGTGTATGTGTGTGTGTGTGTGGCATATGTATGCTGCCCGGCTGCTATATGCTAAATTTTTCCCACATCGAACAAATCAATGGGGGGATAGATTTTTTTTTGAACTATTTCTTTTCATTCGAATCAGCACAGACTCTGAGTGGCAACAGAATGACAAAATATGGCATATGGATCTGATGGAAAACTATAAGGTAGTAAAACAGATTGGAAAAAGCGTCTGAGAGGCTGCCTTAGAACTCAGCCAACATGCCGCCGCCGCCGCCACTTCAATGTGCAACATTAGCTTCAGTTTTTGGTTACAAAACGTTTTGCAGCGGCTTTTTAATATGTGCGCGTATTTAATTTTATAATTAGATCTGAGCCTCGGCACGTTTCCTGCAGCTCGGATTGCACAGTGCGCGACACGTGACCCAAACGGATAGCCAGTCGAGGCGGCAGTCGTTGCTGCCCTGCAACCTCTCGGCGTCGTGTTAACTATAATCCGCTTAGCATTCATAATTTCTGCTAATGGGAAGACCAGTCACCCCGAGATTTGTGTGACTCTCTCAGCGTATTCCAATTATTGCCATGCGTAAATTCTGGTGTAAGGTGACTGCGAAATCGATTTGAAATATGGCCCAGCCATACACGGTGGCCCCTTCAATGTAAACATCGCGCGAAAAGCCGACAAATTGTTCAACTAAAAACGACAGCAATCAAACAAAATTGAATATCAGCGGAAGTGGAAGCGGAAACGGAAGCGCGCCAAAAAGGCGACAATGAAAACTGCAATGGGAATGGCATTGGCAGTGCCGGGCAAGAAAAAAAACCAACGAAAACGGGGGGTCTCCAGCATCCAGCAGCAAACTCCGCCATGTCAGTGTGAATTGTGTTGGCGGCAGATTGTGGTGCGTGGCGGGGCGGGGCGGGAGGCTAGGCTACACGGCTACACGGCTACAATTGTTACGTGTCAATAACTGCAATAAAAAATCGTGGCAGCGCGAGCCGATGATCCGCTCTCTCCGCTGCGCTCCTGGTGGCCGGCCACTCCACTCCGGGCTGCGCCCCAATAACTCTGCAACTCAAATCAAAATCAACGTTGCATTTCAATTGCGAAATTGCCAACTGCCAGGCGTTCGCGTCCGTTCATCAATCGCCGCAGGCCCACCCCGCATCCTCCTCCCATTCATCCACCGAGTCCGAGTCATTCAGATTTCCAATTTCCACGACTTTTGTGCCCGTGCGAATATTAAAATAAATGTCCTTCAGTTAGTTATTTCGCGAAGTTATTTGTTTCGTTTCGTTTCGTTTCGAGATTAAATTAAACTAGCCCGGGGAATTGCCTGTTTGGTTGAACCAAAAAGAAAAACAAAGAGCAAGTGTAGAATGTTTTATGGAAGGTTTGGGCTTTATCTATTTCGTGGTTTGATCTATTCAATGGAAAACTTTTCAACTGAATTTTGTGCACAACTTTTGGTGTACTTGGAACTTGGAACTTACTTGAAAGGCTATGGAAAATGATGGTTCAGATTTGAGATTTGAGTGTCGTCTCCACGGCCATATGCTGCCGAATGCTTATCCACTCAGTGGAATAATTGTATGCACTATCTGACAGGCAGATCTCACCAGCCAACTGCCCCTGTTCTGCCATTATTTCTAGCGTAGTTTAATAGCCGTTTGCTAATCTGAAGGGACGCATCTGCATAGTGATCTATTGAGATGTCATCTTCTGCAGTCAGCCCCCGGGCCGGGCCTTGACAAAGGCAATTGCAAATGTATATTTCGGGTACATCTTTTTTATGTTTTTTTTTTTTGTTGGTCGGGGTGACTTTGATGGGTTCGTGTTCCTGTGCTGCAGCAGTTATTAACACGCCTGTAACGATTTGTCACAAAAATGCTCGGTATGACATGTGTGCAAACAAGACCAGACAAATGCAACAATGGCCGAGGGGTAGCTTGGTCTCTCGGCAGCTCATCCGCACGGGGCTCAGCGAAAGGGTGTGTGTGTGTGTGCGGCACCTTCCACCCTGTCGTTGGTGGCCAGCGATGCGCGCTTAATGAATATGTTGTTTACTTTTAATTTGACAAAAAACTTACACTTTAAACTACAGATTTTCATCGGTATTCATCAGCCAAGCGTTGAATGATTCCGAATGAGTCCTTGACATGTTTTCGTCTCCTCTCAGAATTGGTTGGGCATTTATGCATATCACTGAAAATTCAATTGAATGCATGTCAAACTGCAGACACACAGAAATCAATCGCAACTCAAACAACTTGAAGAAACAAACAAAAAAATGAGATAAAAACGGAAACAGATCAAATATTTGTAAATTATAATTAAATCATTATTAGAAGCAGGATAGAACTAACGTTATTTCTTTCTATGCTCTAAATTCGTAATTTTTTGCGAACAGCGATAGGAGAGAGAGAGAGAGAGCTTAAATAAATCGTAAGATTAAATATATAAAGATTGAGTATCGGCTATAAAAGTAGAGGCGCGACACTTGTCGAACAAAAGTGAGATAAGATAACCATACAGATAAAGACAATCTTTCCAGGAAAATAAGGCAGTTTAAAAAGCATTCCGGAGAACGTTGACGTGCTAGAGAGACGTGTAAATTATCCGTACAGTTTATATATATGCAAAAATGTTCCTTAAAGTGCAATTATAAAGTATTCGGTGCATTAAAATAACATGCACTTGGTGCCGTATTAACCAGTGAATTACAATTCTAAATTTTAATATTACAAATGATATTAGAAGAAAACTAATCGTCCATGTGTATGAGTCACTCACTAGACAAGCAAAAACTTTGCCAGCGAAACAAAAAAGTTAAATAAAAATATAAAATATCATTAAACGTCTCAATAAAAAAACATTTCGCAATTGTAACAAATCAAACGCCGTGACTAACTTAAAATGAGTCAAATGAGCATTTTTGAACTGCCACCCGATTGCTTCTTTGAAATATTTAAGTACATAAAAGAGAACTGCGAGAGACAGAAAGACCAAATGCGCCCCACGAAATCAAGTATGAAGATCTCATTAACTTTGGCCATTTGCTGGCGACACCTTTGACGATCTGATCCAGGAATGGAAAATTGATACTATATGACAGGCTTCTGCTGTAAAGGAATATCTGGATCCGAGGACATAACTCACATCGACTTTGAAGATGTGAATACCCGGTTAAAGAGAAAGTCAGCAAAAGAAAAGGAAACCTACTGGAGGGAGCTCAGCCAGGCCATCAGGGACGCACCCGCAACCACTGTCTAATTGCGTTGCGAATCGGAATCATTCCAGAGTGATCACTTTGAAGCATTTCACACCGTGATAGATCAACTCCAAAACAAGCCAAATCTGAAAGAGTTACACATTGATGTATCGGGTGAGAGCATTATACGTCTAGGTCTAGGGGTTTACATATTTAACACGCAACATTTGTTTATTTTCAGGCTTCACCGTAAAAGGTCTGGGAGGAATTAGAAGCCTCGAGGACCTCCGGTTGAATATCCGGATGGATATTGATGATTTGATTGAAATCTGCCGCCTGAACAAAAACTTGTTCTTTCTGGAATACATGAATAAAGAAACGGGAGGAAAGAGGCTGGCCGCGATCGCCCCGCATTGCGAACATTTGCAAGAACTCGCCTTCAAAATGAGACCCGACTGCGATGCAAGCGAATACAGGCCTTTGGCTAAGATTCCCAGACTGCAATACTTACAAATCAAAGGAGTCCACGAGAAGGGCACTCTTCAGCCCCTGCTGGAGGCATTGGCCGCCAATCAAAGCAAAGTCCTCGACAGATTGTCCATAGACGATGCAACATTGGACCACAATGAAACGCAGGCAATGGCCCAGATAGAAACATTAACTCAAGTGGAGTGTGGATTTGACGATCCCCAGAGCATTGGGCTCTTGTCCCAACTGACCAAACTCAAAAGCTTGAAGATACTGTCCAAACATGACTTTGGCCCAATATCGGAGCCAGTTCTGAGGATTTTAGTGGAGTCAAAGGGGAAAATGGGGATTGAGCTAGTCAATTTGTTCAATATCATACGAGCCAAGTGGCAAACTTCAACTTTTATACAAGAGCAGAATGCGAGTGCCTCCGACTAGTCCCCCGACTGCCAGGTCTGTCTCGCTTAAAATTGACCTCCGGTGATTTCCGACTCAATGGATTCAGGAACGCACCCACATTGACGGAATTGTGGTTGGAAAATATCACGGCAGAGGAATTCGCAGCAGTATCTGAAATCGCATCCCTGAAGAGATTGAAGTGTGGATTTGCCGAAACACAAAACGCTGAGCTCCTCGCGCAGCTACCCGAGCTCGAGGAATTGACTATTAGAAATGTGACATCATCTCCAGGATCCCTCCAGGGCCTCCTGGCTGCTCTGGCTTCGAGGGAGTCGCAGACACTACAAAAGTTGTGTTTGAAAAGAAAGATCGATGCCTTGGAGGCAAAGGAACTGACCCGCCTGAAATCTTTGCGAACTTTGGCATGTCAGTTCGCTGATCCTCTGGACATTCAGCTTCTGTCTCAACTGCCCGAACTCGAAGAGCTGAACCTGAATGCCATGGACAGACTAGACCAGATATTGCCTTTGGTCCTTATAGTTATAAAGTCCTGCAAAAAGTTGGCTGAAATTCATATCAAGTGTAATCCAAACCACTCCGGTCATGTGGACATGAAATCGTCTGAAATCCTCGTCGAAATGCTGGATGCCTTCCAAGATAAACTTAGTATATGGATCAACAACAGCATATATTCGGAAAAAATTGAGGCGAGCCCGCCAACTGAAAAATGGAAATAAATTAGTTCGGTATTTAATTATGGATCTTCTTTAGAGATTCAAAGTATAAACTTAGCGATATAATTCCTTAACCCGCGTTCCCTAGCTAGTATTATTCTGGGTGGGAGGCCAGGTATGGAGTGTGCCAAGTTAAAATTCCATGGGCTTAAGCTTG